TCAATGACTTGCTCTAAATCACCCAACTGGAGAGCAGTGGTGGTGGCATTCCAAACCAGATCTACCTGATGGCCAGCCTGGACCCCCCCATTTCTGTCATTCCACGAAGACTGGGCCCACCCTTTGGTCCTTTGGCATTGGAGTGAGCCCTGTCTTGAATTTCAAACTGCTTGGCAGAAAACTTGAGAGCCTGCCCAGTTCTAATCAGTCCCCTCTATCTTTTTCCAAAATGTACTTAATGGAAGACTTGTTTTGCAAGACGATCTGCAGAGAAATGGGTTCCAGGAACAGAAACATGGGAAAATGCTGCAAACGAAAATTCCCTCTTGGAGATTCACATTATATAGTAGCATCTTCAAGGCTTGGGGAAGACTTGCATTAAAGAAACACTACCTAACTCAGTGTTTCCTGAACTGATTTGAATACGGAGCCCTTTGTGTTCATGTGATCTATTAATAACCATGGAAATTTGTATCTTGCAGAACACGTCTTGGAAAATGGTGACTCAGAACGTTTCCTAGGCTCCCCTCTCAAGAACGGCTCTCTTTTTTGGACTCCTGCTGCAATATCCCCATGGTTCTTGTTCTTGTATCGTTTTTGGTGCCACACTGCTTGGATCAAACTGGATTTTGCTGCTTCTCTTGGCAAAAAAGGCCTGCTCTCTCTAAAGGGGTTATTTCCTAACCCCAAACCCATCCAGAGCCCATACCCTTCACCCTCCCTACGACCTCATGTTGCTGAGGTCCCAATCACAACAAAAACAAATCCATGTAAGTTACAACAGATAGATGTCGAGACAAAAGAGAAAATAATGGAAAGATGGTAGAGACGTAGGAAAAAATATATTGAAAAAAAGAGAACAGGTGATTAAGTTTTCTTGTTTGAAAGCTCAACAACCATTTTCTTAGTGACATATGATAATGTACAGAATCTATTTACAAACTTTCCTATTGTTGAACCATTCCAAAAAGCGATGATGAACCATTCCGAAAACCATGTTTTTGTGCACAGAATTGCAAATTCAAAGTGAGAAAAATTCTCAGTCTTTTGCGACAGGGATGTCACTCAATGAAACGTGTTTGATCACTCAGTTGTGTGGAGTGCTGACTTCTGGTGGAGACAAGAATTGCCTCACTTATTTATTCAGCAAATATTTATTAGCACCTACTAAAGGTTTTTTCTATTTGCTTAGACAAACAGATTAAAAATACCGTGTGTTGGAAGGTGATGATGCTATGAAAAAATAGAGTAGAAAGGCTGAGTAAAGGGGATTAGATGGTGGGGGAGGGGGACAAATTGGGCCGTTGATAGACTGGTGAGACCAGAGAAGGTGAAATGTGAGCACAGATTTGAAAGAGTGGAAGAGGTGAATTTTTACAGCTGCGCTTTCTCCCTCATCTCTTCCAACCTCTCTTCTTCCTCCTATGTTTTTTTTGCCTATACTTCCTTGATTTTTCTTAGTCTATATTAATAGTCTAATTGATTTTAAGACATGGATATTCAAACTACAGTCATGAGTGGCATAACAATATTTCGGTCAACAATGGACTGCATATATGGCGGAGGTCCCATAAGATGAGGAGCGTATGGCCTAGCTGTGCAGTAGGCTGTACCATCTAGGTTTGTCTAAGCGCATTCTGAGATGTTTGCACAACAATGAAATCACCTGACAATGCATTTCTCAGAACACGTCCCCGTCGGTAAGTGATGCATGACTGCATTCAGAAAAACGTGAATGAGAAAGTCAAAGTGATCTGAAATCTTACCAGGCACTACAATTTTGGTGAAAATTCCACTATATATGTCTATGTATATGAACTGATATATTTGCAATTTTTAAAAAATGGGTTCATGTTACATACACTACTTTACTACTCTATAACCTACCTTTCTATGAAATAGTATTTTTTAAGTCGTTTTCATGGCCTTTTAAAAAACTACATTCTTATAGGTACTCCATCACATGTTTTAAAAAATGAAATATTATAAAAATATATACATTAAAAAATCTCACTCCTATTCCTCAAAAAATTAACAATAGAACTATCATATGACCCAGCTATCCCACTACTGGGTATCTACCCAAAGAGCTTGAAGTCAGCAATTCCAAAAGTCCTATGCACCCCAATGTTTATTGCAGTATTATTTACAATAGCCAAGACATGGAAGCAACCTAAGTGCCCAGCAACAGATGATTGGATAAAGAAGATGTGGTATATATACACAATGGAATCCTACTCAGCCGTAAAACAGAATAAAATCGTCCCATTTGCAACAACATGGATGGACCTTGAGGGAATTATGTTAAGCGAAATAAGCCAGATAGAGAAGGACAATCTCTGTATGACTCCACTCATATGAGGAATTTAAAAATGTAGACAAAGAGAACAGATTAGTGGCTACCAGGGGAAAGGTGGGGTGGGGGGTGGGCACAAAGGGTGAAGTGGTGCACCTACAACACGAATGACAACCATTAATGTACAACTGAAATTTCACAAGATTGTAACCTATCATTAACTCAATTAAAAAAAAAATCTCACTCCTATTTTTGTGCCTATCCACACTTTTTATCTCCATAATAGAAGTGAGGGGTTCCTCCTGTACCTTCCAGTATCACTTTGTGTACATACAGCACATATAGATTTGCATTCTTATTTCCCCTCCTTCTTGCACAATAAGTTCATACTACACACTGTTGCTACACTTTGCTTTTTCACTTAACACCAGGGCGATCTTTCCCACGTTAGTGCATTGGGGTCCTATTCAATTTCGGGCATTGGTTGTGTGGTGATACCATAGTTTATTTAAATGCTTCATTATTGATGGATATTTGGCTCAGTCAGTCTTAAACAAAAGGTGACATGAACTTGAAATAGAATGTGTCTGAAACAAAATTTAACAGATGATACTAAATTTTTTCCTTGAAATTATAATTGAAGTCAATGGGAAAAAGTGTTCCACAAAATTTCTGATGAAGTTATCTACTGCTGCCTTAAATATTGAGAGTCCCTGGGCAAGTGTTTATGAATGAGAAGATTTGTTCTTTTCATGTTTATTATCCATGTTATGAGCAGCAAAAATTTGTAATAAAACATTTAAAATAACACTTCACAGGCTCATTCTGATTTTGAATGTTCTGTGTCTATCTGGTCAACATATGATACATATCTATTTCAGTACTAACGGTAAAATTAGTTAAAAATTCTATGCCAAATATTTCTATTGCAAAATTTTTAATCAACTTTATTTCTGCAAATGATAAAAATTAACCATTGTAAGCTTAGTATTAGATTATTCTTCAAAATAGTTTATGTTTTGGGAAAGGTAAATAACAAAAAGTAGCACAGAATGAAGGAATACCAGATGCCAGGTGCCCCTGAAACTTCTCTCACGTGATCCTTACAAAGCTCTGACTTACAGCCATAAAAAAAAAAAAAATTGTGCCATTTGTGACAATATGGATGGACTTTGAAGGTATTATGCTGAGCAAAATGAGTCAGACAGAGAAGGACAAATACCGAATGATTTCACTCATATGTGGAAGATAAGGACATAGATAAGGAGAACAGATAAGTGGTTACCAGAGGGGAAGGGGTTGGGGGAGGGTGAAAGGGATAAAGGGGCACATAGAAACGGCGATGGATAAAAACTGGACTGTTGGTGGTGAACACGAGGCGGTCTATACAGAAACTGAAATATAATGATGTCCATCTGAAATTTACACAATGTTGTAAGCGAATATGACCCCAATAAAAAGAAAAATCTGTGAGTTAGACACTGTTATCCCCTTTTACAGATAAGGAGATAGGATCAGAGAGGTAAAATGCTACGTGCAAAATTACACGTTTATGCAATTTATGAGCCAGGATTTAGTCCTTAGTATTTTCTCACCATACAGCCTGTGTGCTTTTCCGTGCATTACCCCGACTCAGGGACATTGATGGTACATGGCCTGGGACCATTTATTTGTTGACAATTCTTCTCAGATAAATCACCTTCCTTTAAATTAAAAAAAGAAAAATCATTTTGCCATCTTTTAAATTAAGAAAAGAAAAATCATTTAAGGTTTTGCAAGCTAGCCAGGGGCCTCGGTCAGCTATCTCTTTTTTTAGACCTCAGGAATAAAGCAGCTCTGACAATAAATGATACATATTAGATGTATCGAAGAGGTCTTGGTTTCTAAAATTTAATAGTGGGGCAACACGTTTTTATAGAGAAACCATTACCCTTTACAAAGATAAAGGTAGAAAGCAACAGAGAGAAATCACTCTTACTTTCTTCTACAGAGAAACCAGATCTGTAGAGATAAGTGTGTCACTGAATAAAAGAAAGTAAAAGAAAAATGGGGTAATTAGAATCATATCTCCAGTTTCATATAGCACAACCATAGTATAACAGTTCCCTATTGACAGAAATATGCTATCACCTCCTGCTGGGGGTTGTCACTTGACACAATATGTTTTATAGAGTTATATTGAAAAAGAATTTAAAGGTGGGGGTGTCTTGTTACTCACATATTGGAAAAATCTTAAGTATCAGGTAGCTCATCCTTTTGTCTAGGTTGTTGATGTGTTTTGTGAGAAGTTTGCGCACTGAGACTTTCCTTCCCGGATCATTTGCGCGTCTTCCTCTTTCTCTCAGAATTGGGAGGACTAATTCGGATTTGAGTCTCTCCGTGGTGAAGTAACTCTGGTCAGGGAAGCTGTGAATGCTCTCTGTGCAAAGCAAGTCAGGGCATTCACTTGCGAGAAATAAAGTTAAAATGATGTTAATGGAAAAATATAAATTTTTTATGGGTCGAGCAGGTTCGGAAAGAAATGGATTGTCTTGAGTGGTGAGAGTTCTTCGATTTTAGATCTTCTAGAAGAGAACCGATTGACCCGGTGTCCAGACACCCTCCCAGACCCCTGTCCCAGTCTATTTCAACTCTGTAGGCGTTCAAACCTCTTCAGTCAAGAACTGTTTCAATTTGCCTGGATTCCTGTGTATATTCACTTCAGGTCCAGGGAGGCGACATCTGAGACAGTTGGAGGAGGCACATCCCTGTTCATTTCGGTCAACGATGGGGGGAGGCAGCAGCCTCTTGTGGTCTGGGCAGTGAAGCGCACGCACCTGAGAGAAACGCTACAGCTGGAGAAAGGTAAAGGTCTTTTCTCCAAATTCCCTCTTCTCAGAGGAAAGCCAGGGTTACACATAAGGAGACCAGAAGAAGGTGTCCATCACAGGGCTTACGCACGTGTAAAAACATTCTTTGATAAAAAATAATGGCACATTTGACACTGGAGATGTTAGTCACACTTGTATGTTATCTATTCTCACTATACCTTCTTGGCACATATCAATAAAATAAATGAAAACTCAAAATAGGGATTGCCTCTGGGGAAGGGAATGAAATCTACAAAGGAGTACAAATAGGTTTTTAAACGTATCTGTTAAATTTTATGTCTTTAAAAATAATCTGAAGCAAGTGTGACGAACTTTAACATTCGGTAAGCTGGGTGGATGGCTCGTGGATGTTAAACGAATTTCACTCTGTGTTTTTCTGATGGTTTGAAATATTTTATGAGGCAAATATGTATTGGCTTGCTTAGCATCCACACAAATCTCCTTCTGGTGTGCCTCCTTGAGCTCAGAGGCTGGAAAGCTAAAAACTCGACTCCCTTCCAGCTGGGGTCCCAGGGAGGATGTAGGTTCCAGCATCACAAGACTCAAATGGAACTGATGAAACTGAGGAGGCGTCATCTGTCAGGGTGGCTGTGGAGACGGTGTGGTTTGGAAACTGGTAGCTGTGGTGGAGGTTCCCTGACACAGCCGAGGTGGCACATTTTGGAGCCAGCAGGCTCTTTCAGAGGATGGTGTAGGGAGGGCAAAACCAAGCAGAGGGCCCGCAGAGAGAGTTCCAGAACTGTGTAAATCTGCAGAGAGGTGCCTTTGAGTCCGTGGCTGAATAGCAAACTCTACACATGTGAACTGAAATGCCACAGACAGACGAAGAACAATGATTACAAGCTGAGCAGTTGCCGGGGATCATGAGGGCTGGCAGATTTTCTGGTTCTGACTGGCCAAAATGCAGACTCCTTTATGGAACACTCAGGGCTGTCGACAGAGATCCCAGAAAGGCCACATTTTAGTAGTAGGATGAAATTAGCCCTTAATTAAAGACTACTGTAGACGCACCTGAAAAAAGCTTATAAACAAGCCTCAGAATGGTCAAATAGGCTTGCTAGTCACTTAACTGCCAGCCCAAAAAGTTCAACACCCTTTACAGGAAGACAAAACTTCATATACACAATAACATAATATTCAGAACGTCTTGCATCTAATTAAAAAATCAGTGAATGTAGAAAAAAAGGAAAAAAAAAGATCCAGAAATGACAGCAATGATGGAACCGACAGAAAAAGACTTTAAAATAACTGTTATAAATACGTTCAAGCATCTAAGGCAAAGCAAGAACATAACGAGGAGGAGAAAAGATATTTAAAAACAACAAAATGGAACTTTCTAGAGAAGAATAGGATATGTGAAATAAAATTTCATTGGATGGGACTAGGAACAGATTAGACGTGCAGAAAAAGAAAGATCAGTGAAATTCCGGCCTGGTGGTGTAGTGGTTAAGTTTGCGCTCCCTGCTCCAGAGGCCAGGGTTTGCAAGTTCAGATCCTGGGCATGGACCTACACACTGCTCATCAAGCCATGCTGTGGCGGCATCCTGCATGCAAAATGGAGGAAGATTGGCACAAATGTTAGCTCAGGGCCAATCTTCCTCAAGCAAAACAATGAAAAAAGGAAGATTGGCAACAGATGTTAGCTCAGGGCCAATATTCCTTGCCAAAAAGAAACCACCCAAACTGAGGCAAAAAGAGGATGACAAAAGTGGACAGAGCTTTAACAGCCTGGAGGGCAATAATCAGGTGATTCAGATACATGTTACTGGAGAGAAGAAAGGAGAAAAAAAAGTCATTTAAAAAAAGTTGAAGAAATAATGGCCCCCAAATTTCCAAATCAAACAAAAAAAATCATAGAAACATTGATAAATGTGTTATATTAAAAAAGCATTATGGGGAGAAGGGGAAGGAGTGGGAAGGCATTACGCACGGGAGGAAAAAAAAATAATGACTTTTTTTCCTTTTTTTCTTTTTGGTGAGGAAGATTGGCCCTGAGCTAACATCTGGTGCCATCTTTTTTCTTTTTCTCTCTAAAACCCCAGTACATAGTTGTATATCCTAGTTGCAAGTCCTTCTAATTCTTTTATATGGGACACTGCCACAGCGTGGCTTGATAAGCCATGTGTAGGTCCACACCCAGGATCCAAACAGTTAACCCCAGGCGCCAAAGTGGAGGGCATGAACTTAATCATGGAGCTGGCCCCCATGACTGACTTCTCATCAGAAACAGTGCAAGCTGGAAGACTGAACATTTCCAGAGTGATGAAAGGGGAAAAATATCAACCTAAAATTCTATCTAGCAAAATTATCCTTCAAAAAGACAGGCAAAAATACAGTAACTGTCAGGCAAACGAAAAACAGAGAAAATTTATGGACAGCAAAGCTACATTATAAAAAATGTTTAAGGAAGTTTGTTCTTTGGGCTGATGAAAGATTGTACCTGATGAAAACTCAGATCTACGTAAAGGAATGAAGAAGACCAGAAGTAGTAAACGTGCGAGTATGGAGAGTCAGCCAACAAACGCCTGGAAGAGATGGCTTCTGGTTGCTGTGCGGACAATATATTTTAAATTCTTAAGCAAAGAGGCTCTAAAGACTAATTACTGAGCGTTACTCAACTATAGCTGCTTCATCAGTCTACTTGCTTTTTCCAATCAGAGAAATTTCCAAGGATTTAGATGGCCCTACACTTATACCATTTACATTAAGTATTAGACAAACTCAAACCCATGATTTTCATGACTTCCAGAAGCTGGACCATTCCATTCTCTGTCTTCCTCCCTCCCTACCTGACAATCTTTCTTTCCTTTTTCCTCTCTCTCTCGTTGTCTCCACTCTTTTTGTTCTGGATATCTTCTCTACGGTAACACAGGTAGAGTAATCTTTGAGTCAAGTGTAATAACAAATGAGATGTGTTTGATAGTGTTGCTGCTTTCAAAGAATAGGTTTGTCCTTCAGATGCTGAGTCCTGGATTTTTCCAATGGCTGTTAAGTGTTAAAATAGTGAGTCTTACATCTAAAATGAATAAATATTCTAACCACGAGTTCTTTGCAATGGAATAGTCGGTTTAAGAGTGGGGATTAGAACGCCTGCAAACAGAAGAATGCAATTATAATAATTGTTCCCTCATCCTTGCTCACGGTACACAATCTTCTCAAATTTCCATTGATAGATATTTCCCCAGTGACTGTCATGGAAGAAAGTTGTAATATTCCTAACCCTCCTGAAGTGCTTCTAGCCTTGACTGAGTCTAACACTTTTGCGACATATTTCGATTTCTTTAGGAATAATATGTAACCAGTTTCAGGGTTTGCCAATAAAAGGAATACACATCAAATAACATCAAATAACGTATTATCTTTAATTATGTTTTAGTTAGCATGCTATTATATAATTAGCCGTTTTTAGATTACTATAATAATCAGAAGACCATATATTTGGATAATGTACTGATTACATGGCCCACAGAATAGCATAATCCTTAAGGAGACGCTTGCCTCTGAGCGTTTTTAAAATTCACACAGTGGAAAGTCAGCCCGTCTTGCTTCTCAGCTGCAAATCACTGAACAAATCCGAGTGAATTTTAAAGATGCCAGCCCTGCTATTTGAAGAGCCTGCTATTGTGCCAGATTCTGTTCAAGGAAGAATGTTTTTCACAGCTTGAATATCAATCCTGAAAAAATATCCAACAGAAAACAGAAACATCAGACAAAGGGCAAGACTACAAATCCAAGAAAGGATGTATTATTTCCCTTGGCTGGAGTGATCTGGACTAGTGATTGTCTGAATCCTGAGCTTTCGGATTTGTCCATTTTAGAAGCGTTACTTTTTACTATTTTTGATTTTAAAACATTTTACACTATTCACTGTTATTCACAATTTAGTTGAGTGTTAACGAAAAAAAGGTAAAGTATAATGTGTACATATTTAACCCAAGTTTACAAATTAAGGTAATTATTCTTTTTTCCCCCTAGAATGTAAAATACCCTGTGATATTTCATTGGGAATTGGAAAACATGCAATAGGTGTGAGTATGTGAAGCCGGGATCTACAACCCCTCACCTCATACCCAGTCTCATGGCATAATTAGACTCAGGGCCACGCTGTCCAAGAGAATATAGTGAGAGCCACATAGGCAATGTCTAATTTTCTAGTAGCCGTATAACAAGGCAAAAAGAAACAGGTTCGATGAATTTTAATAAAATATTTTATTTATCCCAGTATATCTATAATATGTGATTTCAGCATGTAATCAATACAAGAATTATTAACAATATATTTGACTTTTTTTTTTTTGTCATGCTATGTCTTTAAAATCCAGTTTGTGTGTTATACTTACAGCAAACCTCAATTTGGACCAGGCACGTTTCAAGCACTCAATAGCTGCATGTGCCTAGCGGATACCATGTTGGACGGCACAGCTCTAGGTAGGTTTGCCATGGGTTGGATATCATCTGCTTCTCAGACTATCAGAAGACAAATAAGATGAATGGATTTTTTAAATGTAAACTTCTTAGTGAAGTATAAAACACACAGAAAAAAATGCAGAGAGCATCAGTGCATCGGGGTGAGTGCTCATGAAGAACGTAGCTATTTAACTAGAATCCAGATCATGAGCTGGAACATTAACAGAACCACAGAAGCGCCCTCGTGATCCCTTTGGATTTTCTTTTAATATCACAGGTATCGAGATCTTACTCTCCTCGTCTTCCCTCCCTGAAGTGGATCTACTTATATAACCGGGAAGAGGATATTGCTGACTCGTTGCAAGCCAATACTTTGGTGCTCAGGGCATTTTTATCCGTGGCCAAGAACCTAGATTATGGACTCTCACAAACGTGAGGAAATCGTCATGGGATCATGCCAGGAAAGGAGGCTTGGGAAAGGACATCTCTGACTTCTTGAAAAATTGAGTGTATCTACATTTGTCCTGGCTCTTATTTAGTTTCAAATACAAGGAGATTTAGATTCAAAATAGCTTCTTAGTTTGCTTTCTTTCTTCACGTGGTCAATACACGTGAAAGTAGACTCATGAGGAGAAAATCATTCTCAGTTATCTCAATTTCTACGGGATGTTGTGAAGATAATAAACATTTTTGATAAGGCAAGTTTTCTTTTGGCATAACAAGAAGTGGGTGTACAACATGTATTCTAGAAATATTTTAATAACTAGGAGCACGAGAGTCAGAGCAAGCAGCCAAGCATTTTACGTATTTTTCAGAAAAAATTTTTGGAAGGCTTTCTCTGAGGTTTCTAGATGTGAAGTGAGCCAGGTTGGCGGGGTTGGAGGATGCATAGAAAGGGTCAGAGTGAAGGTAAGTATGAACGCAGAGATGCAAACACGGCCAAGCTAGAGATTCAGTTACACACCTCTCCCCTCCCCTTAGGAGCCTCTGCCTGGGATGGGAGCGCTGCTCGACTTAAAGGCCCTTCCCAAGCAAAGAGCAGTTTCATCAACAGTGCAAATCAAAATGGCTCTCCCAGGAAATAGAACGCCTGGCTCCCGCTGTGAGCCTGATGGCTCTCTCTCTCTCTGGCGCATCTTTCCCAGCAGGGTGCCTTTCTTTGGGGGAAAAAGCGTCTGGGCTATTTTCAAGCACCTGACAAATGAAGGTCATAATGAAAGCTGGTTGGCCACACAGCTATTTAAGCGGTTAAAGATAGAAAATGATATTGGCTAAAACCCAGTCTTTCCATGGCTTAGTGACTATTTTGTCACACCCTATTCCGAAGAGAATGAAATCATTTTATAATATTGGCCTTGAATGAGGCTGAGTATTCTATGTTATATCACTTGTTCTATTTCATAGAATATGATTTAACCCTTGATGTTTCTGAACATGATGAAAAGCCGTATCATCATGGGATCTCAGGGCTTGGCTGGGAAATGGGCCGGCAAAGCTAGATGAGCCATGGGGTAAAACCTCTCTGATTCCCCACAAGACTTCCAGAAAGGTTGTGGCTTGATTGAGTACCTCTGGGAAACTCTTTGCCCAGTTGCGTAATGGCATTAGGACATTCAAGAATAAAAGAAGTTATAATCTAAATATGTATGTACAAAACAGATCCCTCGCCTCTCCCTCCAAGGAAAACCACAAAACAAAATAATGGGAATTCTGAATTTATTATTTTTTAAAAATTTCAACTTTATTGAGGTTTAATTGACATATAAAATTGTAAGATATTTAAAGTATACCTCGTGGTGATTTGACATCTGTATACACCGTGAAAAGATTCCCCGCATCTAGTTAATTAACCCATCCATCACCCCACGGAAAAGTCAGTGCTAGCTCCATAGTTACTGCTTGCATTTAGCAAAAGGAGTGGAGATCTAGCTCTCTGAAGGCAGTTTTCAAGAGCAGCAGGAATTTGATGTCTGGATGAACCCCAGACAATGCCTAAAACCTACCCTTCTCCATTACAACAGTCCCTAACTTCAAGCTTGGGGAGGAAGGAGGAAAAGGAGGGAAAGATGGTGACTACATGTAAAAGAAACCATGAAATTCGACTTCCTCTGGCTCTTCCACCTCTGTTGTGCCCCAACGGAGCCTTAACTCCCTGATAAAGCTCTTTAGGGTTGATGCATTTGAGCAAAGTACAAAGCTAAAGCTGCACTAGGGCTTCTCATTGTGCACATTCTCCCCAGGTAAGCTCATCACTCTCATGAATTCAGATGCCTTTTATATACCAACAACTCCTTGATCTACACATGGCACAGACCTTTCCTCTGAGCTCCAGACCCATAAGTAGAGCTTCAGCGTAGACATCTCCAAACACATGGTCTATAGGTACGTCAAATTCAGCAAGTCCAGTTGAGTTTGGGATGTTTCCCCAACAAACTTGTCCTCTCCCATTATTCTCTGCCTCAGTGAATGGCACTACCACGTCCCTGGTTGCCCAAGTCTGACACCTAGGAGTCGTCCATGACACCTCCCACATCAGTACTCCAACTTCCAATCAACCCCCAAATCCTATTGATTCTAGCTGCTGCATATCTTAAACCCATCCACTTCTCTCCACCACCCCTGACTGTACTACCAGCACATCAAAACAGGATTATCTTGTACCAGTCATATCCCTAACGTGAATGTAGGGTTTCTCTATGTACATCAAGTAACTGTTAAAAACACAGATCTTATTGTTACTGCTTAAAACTCTTCAAAGCTTTCCTGCTTCTCTAAGAAAAGCTCCAAGATCTTTAACAGCATGTACCAGGCTCCACATGAGCAGACAACTCTTTCTTCCCTCCCCTACCTCTGCTCTCCTCACTTTCTGCTGCCCAGCCATGGTAGCCCCTTTCAAGTTCTTCCAATGTAATGTAATTCTTCCTGCCTCAGAGCCTTTGCATATGATAGTACCTCTACATGGAATACTCTTTCACTTCTAGGAACGAATCCCTGACCCCTAAGACTAGGTCAGGGCCCACTGTAATGTGTTCTCACTGTTTGCATGGGTAATTATTCTATATCTATCTTCTTCTCTGGTCTGTAAAGTTCATGAGAACAGGTGCCCAGGGTTAGTACATTGTTGGGTATACAATAGACACCCAATAAATGTTTGTGAATGAATGAAAAAAAAGTCACTCATTGGTTCCATGAGAACTGGAAGGAAATCACTGAACAGAGGCACAGGGGAGATAAAGAATACAGGCATCTCACTGGCTCAAGTCATTCATGACAACCTTCCACATCAGTCCTCCAACTTCTAATCAGTCACTAAATCCTATGGATTCTAACCCCTGCATATCTTAAATCCATCCACTTCAGCTTAAGGTGAAGGGCACAGTCCTCCAACTTGTCAAGTCTGCCCAAGACGTCCGATACCAGCCACAAGTCTGGGCGTCCGTAGAGCCATCCTCACTTCAGACTAGCTGGCTACAAATGCAGGGTTCCCCACGGACTCCCTCAGGTTTGATAATTTGGGAGGATGACTCACAGAACTCAGGAAGGTACTGTATGTACAATTACGCTTTTACTGTGGCAAAGGATACCAATCAGAATCAGCCAAAGGAAGAGATGCGTAGGGCAGGATCTGGGACTGAGAGGGCTCCAGTCTCAAAGCTTCCATGTCCTCCGGGATGTATTGCTCTCCCAGCATCTATGTCTGGCAGTACACACATGGGGTGCTGTCAACCTTTCTTTCACTGGAACTTCGGTGTCCAGAGATTTTATGAGGCTTCATTGGTAGGCGTGATTGATGGAATCATGGCCCACGTGGTTAAACTCAGTCTCCAGTCCTCTCCCCTCCTTGGAGGTAAGAGTGCTATCAAGTCAGAGTCCCAACTCTCCAATCACATGATTGGTCTTTATGGCATGGCCAGTCCTCACTTTAAGTCTACTGGTGTAGACAGGGCCCTGACACCGAGTCACATCTTAGCAAAGCCTATCAGGTGCCCACCATGAGTCATCTCATGAGCATAAACTATTAGCTGTGGTCTGGGGCCCACTGTGAATAAAAACACATTCCTATTGAAATTACTCAGGAAATTCCAAGGGGGTAAAGATTAACTCCCAGGAGCAGGGACAAAGGCCAGATCTCTCTGAGCGAAGTTCATTCATTACTGTACAGCATCTTAGACCTGGCAGGCCGGTGCCCAGGACAGACAGACCACGTTCCTTCCCTAACTGTATATATCAGGTCAAAGACCAAGAAAAAGCAGATTAGGGAGACTTCAGTTTTCAAATGCCATCAACACACTTTATTTTTGTCTTTGATTACTTAACCTTCATGGCAGAATTTCCTTCTAAGAATGTGAAAGGCACATTGACAGGGAAGATTTATTACCAGACGCAGGTGACAGATGACACTCCCAGACAATGACCACTGCAGTAGGGTTTAGTTAAGCCAAAGGCTACAGTAATTTTACCCTACCTTTTCCTGGTGATTTATAATTTACAAAATGCTTCACATACCTTCTCCCTTGGATTATTAGTCATAGTGTAAAAAGAGCATAAATAAAGAATTAAAAAACTGAGTAACGATTAGCAGAGCAAAAAGATTATGCAACTTAATTCTTAAAATAATTCATTTTTCTTGCATCATCTACACAACAATTGGTATGCTAGTTAAGATTCATCTAGGAACTCTACGTGACAATGCTTTGTTAATATAGCTCAAGATATTTTATGAATTTGAAAGTTCAGAATTTGATAGGCAGGAGTTTCTGAGTTGTTTTCTGTAAAATCAAACTTATGTTAGTGTGACATGAAAAAATCAAGGTAAAGTAGATAATAAAATTTTTTTCTCGGAAGGAAGCTATTTGCCATTTAAGCAGAATGTTTGCTCTTTTTTCCCTAAATAGGTAGAGATTCTATCGTGTCTCTTTTTGAGAATGTGTAAAAGAGTACTTCTGACATTATGCCAATCTACCTATCAGCCGTTTTCAGATGCAGAAAGTCAGGCCCTCACCCACTGTTCCTTTAAAATTTCTATATTTAAACCTTTCACAAATTCATACTGATCAAACCAAAGAGGCTTATCTGGAATCACGATATTTTTCTAAGCCTTTTTAAGAATGGTTCCAGATAGTTAAAAAAACAAAAAAAACTGAAGGAGTCTGGTTCGTGACAGCATATTGATCCTGATTCTACACCTTCTGAACCCTGGAAGTTTGGGAGCAGTTGAAGAACCAAAAACTAGAGGCACTTCTAAAATATAGGAAGAAGACAGGTTCACATTTTTAAAGCCATAGCTGGAAATGTACGAAGAACTTCTATAAAAGATCTTATATCTATATATCTATATATCTATCTCCGACGGTACAGAGAGATTTGTTACAGGGAATTAGCTTACCCACCTGCACAATTATGGGAGCTTGGTAAGCTGTCTCTGTGAAGCTGTAGTCGCTGCATTTGTTGCTGGAGCTGGCAGCCCACAGGGTGGGGAGTCTGGGCAGAAAGATCACCAGTAGGGTGGAACCCACCAACACAAGCTGGAACTCCATGAGGAGAGACCGAAACCTATGCCCATTCTTGTTACCTCTGACACTGGTGATAAAGGTATCTTGCAGAAGCCAGGCTCTGTATTATAAAGGTAACCATGCAAATCTGGCTCAGGAGTCAGAGAAGCAGAAGGATGATTGCAGGCCTAGCTGCAATTGCTTCATGTCTGTGAGATATATTAACAGATCAGTAACCACACGTGTGAGCATACTAACCAGAGACATACAAGAGAAGGAACTCTGAGAAATGTAGTTCAGCCTAGCCAAATTTGCACATTACAGAGGCATCACATCCAGGAGGAAGAAAAATATATCTAAGAGGAAGAAGTAGAATGAGAGAAACAAAATAAAGAAATCAGTGAAACATCAAATTTAAGTGAGTGTTGATTTTTTAAAATTTAAAAGCAATAAAAAACTGGAAATAATATTTTAGAGGAATTCAACGTATGAAATAGCAGGAGTAAGGCAGGTGGGAGTAGGGGGAAAGGAAAAGCAAAATGTTGCTAAGATTCTGCTATGATTCAGGGAAAGATACAGCTACTGATTAATTCCAACCCCCCAAAAAATCAGTTTAAGGATGCATTTTAAAATTACAAAAGCACGAACAAAAAGGTGAAATAAAAACCTCAGGCAATCAAAAGCTGAGAAAATTTATTGCTTACAGAAATGCACTATAAGAATTGTTAAAACAAGTTCTATTGATGGAAAGTGATATTAGATGGAAACTTAAAACTTTGCAACTGAATCAAGGTGCTGGTAAAGGTAAACATGTAGGTAAATATAAAATACTTATTTCTCATTTTTAAATATCTTTAAAAGACAATTGACTGCTTAAAGCAAAAAAATTCTTTCTGAGTTTATAACATATATAGAAGTAAAACGTGATAATAGAAAACATGGAAGATGAGGAATTAGTGTCTACTGTTGTAAGGTTATTATATTATACATGCATTGGTACAGTATTATTTGATGGTAGAATGTGATAAGTAAAGATGAATATTGCAAACTCTGGAACAACCCCCTGGTCCTCTCAAAAAAAACAATCTAAAGAAATATAGCTCTGTTGAAAAGATGAAATAAAAGATACGGTGGAATACTAAAAAATAATCCAAAAAAAGTAAGAAAAAAGAACATATGGGACAAATAAAAACCAAAGAACAAGATGACAGATTTGAATCCG